TGCTGACGATCTCGTGGTTTTATTAAAGATCAAAGAGACGTCAGCGCTTTAACCGAGATCATACAGAAATTCTCCATGTTGTCTGCCGCCAAGGTGAATTGGGAAAAGAGCGAGGCCCTGGCTGTTGGCAAGTGGCTGAAGGACTCCCGGCTCTCCCCAAGGGCATGACTTGGAGGAAAGATGGCTTGAAATATCTTGGTGTTTTTTTAGGCGGAAAGGATTTTGAAGAAAAGAACTGGGGAAACATAGAACAAAAGATAACAAATAAACTTGCCAAATGGAAATGGCTACACGGCAAAATGTCTTATCGAGGAAGAGTGCTGGTGTTAAATAACCTGGTTGCCTCACAACTATGGCATAACTTGTTGTGTTAGACCCGCCATCAAGGCTGTTGGCTAAAATCCAAACAGAAATGGTGAATTTCTTTTGGAATAACCATCACTGGGTACCGCAATCAGTGTTGTTTTTACCTAGAGAGGAGGGGGGCCAGGGCCTTGTCCACCTGGCTAGTAGAGTGGTTGTTTTTAGATTGCAGTTTTTACAGAAATATTTGACAGGATCTCCTGTATGGAGAGATGTGGCCAGCTGCATTTTGAGACGTGTGAATTTATTGGAGTTGGATGCTGCTCTGTTTTTAACAAATTTAGTCTTTTAAAGTTAAGGGAGATTCCGCAATTTTATCAGAGCGTTTTTAAATCGTGTGCTCTTTTTAAATTGCGTAGATCGGAAACGAATGACTCTCTGCATTGGCTTTTAGAAGAAACCATTGGTCTGCGGAGCAAGATTAGACGTCGAAAAAGACACGTTCCTAGGACTATCAGAGACTTTGAGCAGAGCTGGACTGGTGACTTTAAAGCGGCTGATCCAAATTTCTGGAGCGGATTTTGGAGACGCCCAGGGGGTTGCCGCTGCAGTCAAAATGAAGTCCACCAGAACAATGGAACGTGTCCTGGGAAAGTAAAGGAGAGACTGGCTGCAGAGGAGAAGGATTTACTGCAGTCATACAAAGAGAAGGAATGCCTACCAAGAGACACGGATCCATTCCCAAAGGTACTCCTGAGTCCGGGCTTTGAAGAGGACAGTGGTCCCCTTTTAAAGAACACGGACTCGGAAATGGACCTGTGCAAGGTAATGCCAAAGACACTGTACAAAAACTGTGTAAAAATCCTAAACAGGAAAACACTCCAGGGGAGAGCTGTCAGCGTGTGGGCTGATAAGCTAAAAGGACAGCCGATACAATGGAGGACGCTATATAAACTGCCAATTAAAAAAGGACTGGTGACCTCCAGTGGAGGGTGCTCCACGGCGCCATTGCCACAAATGCTTTTTTATCGGTCATCAATCATAATATTGTAAATGAGTGTCCTTTTTGCACCTTATCAGAGAGTGTTTTTCATGTTTTTATAGATTGTACACGTTTAACTGGTTTTTTAGTTTTCTATCGACTGTTTTTAGTCTTTTTAAATGCTTTTTACCAATGCAGTATTTATTAACGGTGTACCTCATAGTAAAGCAACTAGTTTTTAGATCTCGGCTTTTAAACTATTTATTGGCTGAAGCTAAACTAGCTATTTATATCACTCGAAGAGATAGGATGCAGGATGACCTCAGTTGGATGCTGTGACCCTGTGGAAAGTGAACATAAAGGCGAGATGAGATTGGAGTTTGCTTTCCACAGGGCCACCGGGAATTTGGAAAAGTTTTTGGATTTGTGGGGATGCGCTATAACGCACTATGCATCATCTCAGAGAGAAATGAACTAATTTATAAAAAAATACTATTATAATGATTTTATTGATGTAAAGAGAAACATTGTGAATTGTGTATATATATTTGTTTAATAAATGTATTGGTAAAAATCAAAATCTTCTTCTTCTTCGAGTGAGAGGAGGGTGTGTGAGGAGGAGCGAGGAAGAGTGAAAGCAAGAGTGATTTGTATATCTTTTCTTTATCTTTTTCTTACTGTTTTCGGGTGTTTGGTTTACCTTGTTTAATTGTTTTTTCTTGTGTTATGTTATCACGTTTTAAGGGGTTTTTGTTCGTTTGTTTGGGGTGTGGCCGTCGGGCGTGCCTGGCTTGCCGGCGTCTGACGGCAGCAATGGTGGGTGTTGTCGGTGGTGGTCTTTTTCCACGCTGACACGGAGAACGGCATCAAGGTGGGTGCTGGTTCTCCGTGCAGCGTGGAGGAAGTTTGTTTGGCGGTGGGTGAGATCATTGGCACGGAATATAAAGTCGGCTGCACGTATGAATGGGCAGTGGTGTTGTTTGTGGAGAAGGTGGAACATGCACAGCAGGTGGTGGAAAAGGGTGTTTCGTGAATGGGTTGTTTTTTACAAGTTTCACCGCTCACGTTACCATCCACTAAGATAATGTTGTCAACGTACCTCCTTTCATCAGTGATGAATTTTTGATTAAAGAACTGTCGAGACACGGAAAGGTGGTGTCGCCGGTGAAAAAAGTCCTTTCCGGGTGTAAATCACGCTATTGAAACATGTTGTTTCTCACCGTAACAGTTATTTATGATACTGAACAGAAAGGTATGAGGAAATGAATTTGCGTTTCCACGTTAGAGTGGATGATTTTGACTATGTTTTGTTTGCCACATCAGGGCAGATGAAATGTTTTGGTTGTGGGGCAGGAGGGCCACATCATAAAGATTTGCCCTGATAGGCAGAACTGGCCAAGCCGGACTCGGAAAAGCAGCAGCCTGTTGCCGCTGAGCAGGGTAAAAAAACAAATAGTGAGGAGGATGTTGTGGAGGGAGACACTGCTAATGTTGCGGCGGGAGAACCCGCCGCTGCTGCTGCTGGCGCGACTGCCGCTGCCGCTGCGGGGGAACCAGCGGTGGTAGAGGAGGATGTGACAGGAAACATTGTTAAAGAGGCGGTGGAGGACGGTGGTAATGGTGCGAGTATAGGAGAGGATGAGAGCACGGTGGTGTGTGGTGATGGGCTGAATGGTGGTGTGGGTGGAAGTGTAGGGAAGGAGAGTGATGGTGTGCAGAAAGAACAGGAGGATGTGAGGGGTGATGAGGAGCATCGAGTGTGTGGAGATCAGAGCGAGGGGGGAGAGGTTCAGGGGAGAAACGGTACAAAGAAAAGACGTGGAGTCGTTTATAGTGGCTGGAGGGAGGGAGAAACAGGTGAGGTGGAGGAGGAAATGGAGCTGGAAGCTTGTGTCCCGGTGAAACGGCGCAGCAAGAGGAAAAATGTGGTGGCTGCTGTGCAGGCCAGTAAGAAAGGAAAGTAAGTCGGTTGTGGAGAAGAGAAGTATCGGACAGCAGTGATGAAGAGAGTTATTTCTCAGATACCAGTGAAGCTTCCGTATCTCAGACGAGTAGAGAACCGAGATACCCGGTTGAAACATTTAGAACCTTTTTAAAACAAACAAAAGGTCTCAGAGGGATAAACTTGAGAGCTATTTCCCAAATTTAAGACTTTTCTATTTTTCCGCAAGGCATCACATTAGACATAAAGAGGACTCAGGTTTCACAGACACAGAAATTTTTAGGTTAAAGAAAATAATGTCTAAAGCCAGAAAACAATTTTATGATGTACAGTAGTTTTTTAATATCTATTTTAATGTTTTGGTGTGTTTGTTTTAGCCTTTTACCTAAGATGGATTCATTTAAAATAGCATCCTTGAATCTAAATGGGGGGAGGGAGGCTGAAAAACGGGCATTGATTTATCAGATGATGAAACAAAAGAAAATTGATATCGTCTATCTACAGGAGACACATAGTGATTGTACAATAGAAACAGACTGGGGCAAGGAGTGGGAGGGAGAGGTGATTTTAAGTCATGGCACCTCCAAGAGTGCAGGGGTGGGTTTTCTTTTTTCAAAAGCTTTCACCCCACTTTCTATAGAAATTGAACATGTGGTGCAAGGGAGATGTCTTTTAGTAAAGACAAAATTTGATTGTTTAAACATGTTTTTATTAATATCTATGCTCCGATAGCCAATGCAGAGAAGAAATGTTTTTATGAGAAAATTGGGGAGAGGCTGGGTGATTGCGGGACCGAATTATGTTTTTATAGGTGGGGATTTTAATTGTACTGAGAACGAGTTTTTAGATCGCAATCACGCAGAGCCACATCCGGCGGCCCAACGGGTCTTGAAGCAACTGGTCTCGTCTCATGGCCTGGTGGACGTATGGAGGAGGATGCATGCAGGCGCCAGGCAGTACACATGGTCCCACATTGTTGATAGTAAAATCTCTTTTAGCTCGTTTAGATCGTTTTTATTGTTTTAAACACCATTTTAACGTGTTTAAAACATGCCAGATTTTACCAGTGGCTTTTACAGACCATTCATTGCTTTTAGGTAGTGTTTTTATCAGAAACATTTTACCTAGAAGCGTACTGGCATTTTAATTCTGCTTTAACTTATGATCAGAGCTTTAAGGAGGTTTTAACTTATTTTTGGACTGGTTTTAGGGAAAGGAAAGCTGATTTTAGCTCTCTTAGACAGTGGTGGGACTATGGAAAGGTTCAAATAAAACTGCTGAGTCAACAGCACACTGTCAATGTCACTCGTGACATTGCCGGATCTATCAGAGATCTGGAGATGAGTATAGTGGAATTAGAACGACTTAGTGACTCCACAGGAAATCGAGAGTATTTTGAAGCTCTCAATCTAAAAAGCTAACTTTAGCAAACCTGCTGGAAAATAAAGTCCAAGGCGCATTGGTCAGATCCCGGATACAGGACATCACAGAGATGGATGCTCCCTCGGGCTTTTTCTTCAGCCTGGAGAGGAAACAGGGACAGAGGAAAATGATGCACTGCTTGCTGTCGGACACGGGGCAGCATTGAGCGAACCGGGGCAGATAAGGAGGAGGGCTGTGGAATTTTACCGTTCTCTGTTCCGCAGCGAACACAGAGAGAACGACGAACTGTTGGAGGAGTTCTGTGAGGAACTACCTCAGGTCTCTGCGGAGACCAACCTGGAGTTGGAACGGCCTCTGAGCCTGCAGGAACTACACACAGCCCTCCTTGGCATGAAGGGTCGGAAGTCTCCAGGCGTTGACGGGCTCACGGTCGAGTTCTACAAGGCCTATGGGAGCTTCTGGCCCAAGACGTGCTCGACGTATTCAACGAGAGTCTGTCTACCGGTTCGCTCCCCTTGTCTTGCCGCAGGGCAGTTATCACCCTGCTGCCTAAGAAGGGAAACTTGCAAGAGATTAAGAACTGGCGCCCCGTGTCCCTCCTTTGTACAGATTATAAAATCCTCTCCAAGGCCCTGGCCACTAGGCTAGGGAAAGCCATGGAGCAGGTCATCCACCGGGATCAGACCTATTGCGTCCCGGCAGGTCCATGGTGGACAATCTACCTAATTCGGGATATTTTGGAAGTCTCCGGTTCATTGGGTCTACAGACAGGCTTGATTTCATTAGATCAAGAAAAGGCTTTTGACCGCGTTGAACACGACTTCCTCTGGAAAGTAATGAGGAGGTTTGGGTTCAGCGAGGGTCTTATCGCCAAGATCCAGGTGTTGTACGGTGACATTGAGAGTGTGCTGAAGATCAATGGCAGCCTGTGTGCTCCTTTTAGAGTGTGTAGAGGCGTTCGACAGGGCTGCGCGCTCTCGGGAATGCTCTATGCACTCTCCCTGGAACCCCTTTTAAAGAAGATGCGATCAGACATTCACGGCTTGGTTTACCCGGTTTTAAAGACAAATTGGTTTTATCTGCCTATGCTGACGATCTCGTGGTTTTTATTAAAGATCAAAAGACGTCAGCGTTTTAACAGAAATCATAAGAAAGTTCTCCATGCTGTCTGCCGCCAAAGTAAATTGGGGAAAAAGTGAAGCCCTGGCTGTTGGCGAGTGGCCCGACGGACTCCCGGCTCTCCCCAAAGGCATGACCTGGAGAAAAGATGGCCTAAAATATCTAGGCGTGTATTTAGGCGAGAAAAGTTTTGTTGAAAAAAACTGGGAAAACCTAGAACAAAAATATCAAACAAACTTGCGAAATGGAAATGGTTGCATGAAAAAATGTCGTACAGAGGAAGAGTGTTAGTGCTTAATAATCTGGTCGCATCACAACTCTGGCACAAGCTCATTGTACTAGATCCACCGTCAGGGCTGCTGGCAAGAATACAGACGGAAATGGTTAATTTTTTCTGGAACAATCGTCACTGGGTGCCACAGTCGGTGCTGTTTTTATCCAGAGAAGGGGGGCCAGGGCCTTGTCCACCTGGCCAGTAGAGTCACTGTGTTTAGGATACAGTTTTTACAAAAGTACCTGATAGGATCTCCTGTGTGGAAGGATGTAGCCAGTTGCATTCTAAGACGCGTGAATTCCTTGGGATTGGATGCTGCTCTGTTTTTAACAAATTTTAGTCTTCTAAGGTTTAAAGGAACTCCGCAATTTTATCAGAGCGTTTTTAAATCATGTGCTCTTTTAGATTGCGTAGAGCGGAAATGACTGATTCTCTGCATTGGCTATTAGAAGAACCCTTGGTGTACGGAGCAAGACTGGATGTTGAAGAGACACGTTCCTGGGGCTACAGAGACGCTGTCTAGAGCCGGAATGGTGACCTTAAAGAGGCTGATTCGAGCGTCAGGAGCAGACTTTGGCGATGCCCAGAAGGTCGCTGCCGCACTGAAAGTAAGGTCTACAAGAATGATGGAACGTGTCCTGATGAGAATAAGAGAAAGATTGACTGGAAAAGAGAAGAGTTTATTGCAGGCATACAAGAATGGAGAATGCCTGCCAAAAGAAACAGATCCTTTTCCTAAGGTTCTTCTGAGTCCAAGCTTTGAAGAGGACAGCGGTCCTCTGCTAAAGACCATGGACTCAGAAATGGATTTGTGCAAAGTGGCACCAAAGACTTTATATAAAACTGTGTGAAAATTCTAAACAAGAGAACGCTTCGAAGAGGGACGTCAGCGTGTGGGTTGAAAGACTGAAAGGACAACCAATCCACTGGAGGACAATGTACAAACCGCCGATTAGAAAAAAGATTGGCGACCTCAGTGGAGGATACTCCATGGCGCTATAGCCACCAACGCATTTTTATCGGTGATTAGTCCTGGTTTTATAAATGAGTGTCCATTTTGTAGGTTGTCAGAGAGTTTTTCATGTTTTTATAGATTGCACACGTTTGATAGTCTTTTTAGTTTTTATCGACTGTTTTTAGTCTTTTAAAATGATTTTTACCGATGCACTATTTATTAACGGAGTACGTCATAGTAAAGCACTAGTTTAAGTCAAGGCTTTTAAATTATTATTAGCCGAGGCAAAATAGCTATATATATACTCGAAGAGACAAGATGCAGGATGGACCTCAGTTGATGTTGTGGCTCTGTGGAAGTAAACATCAAGGCGAGGCTGAAGTTGGAGTTTGCTTTCCACAGAGCCACTGGGAATGTGCAGGGGTTTTTAGAGTTATGGGATGTGACAAAGTGTTGTGCATCATTTCAGAAATAATGAACTAATTTATACTGATGTTTTATTATAATGTATTTGTTTGACATAGGATTATTGTAAAACATCAAAAAAAGGAAATTGTTTTATTATTATTGTAAATAAATGTTTTGGTAAAAATCAAAAAATCTCTTCTTCTTCTTCTTCTTCTTCTTCTTCTTCTTCTTCTTCTTCTTTTCATGGCGGTTGGCAAGAAACTTATTGATGTGAATTACCGCCATCTACTGGAATGGAGTGTGAAACGGGATGCTACATAAATATTCTCCCGCACCCAAAATTATTATTATTATTATTATTATTATTATTATTATTATTATTATTATTATTATTATTATAAATAAATATTCTTTCTACCAATTTTGTTTTCTTAAGGTGATTTATTAAAGAACAAATATATTCAGAAATCTTCCCCGTGTTTCACTGGAACTGTACTGAAGAAACTGAACGATTCAAAAGTTCCGCTTTAATATACCACATTTTCTTTCATATTTTATTGAGCATGATTAGATCTGTTTAATTAGAACAAAGCACGTACAGTTATTATATCGACACATGAGGTTTTAGTTTGTAGGTTCTGATCATTTTTAAAGTTAAACAGTATGAAGCCACATGTGGTTTAGAGTAATGTATTCAACTTGAACATTTGAAATAAAATTAAAAAAACGTCTCACAATAGATAACTGACTTCAAACACACATTTATGAAATACAACTTTTTTGTTGTTGGTCTGATTCCATGTTATTGAACATGACTGTTTAAACATACTCCTGCATATTAAATCAATTGAAATGAATTCAGTCGCACAGACCGTAGAAAAATAGCTTTTGTAGGTGTAGTACCAGGTTCTTGTCAGTAGGTGGCAGCATAAAGGGGCTTCTGTGTCACATTTCTGATTTAAAATGTTTTTATTATACATTGAAAGTTTAATATAAACATTTTACATATATTTTAAAAAACGTTAGTAAATGCGTTTAAAAAAACATAAAACTTAATAATTAATTAAAATTACTTGAAAAAAATTATACTGTGTTTCACTCGAGTCAACTGAGGAACTGAATGAATAGTAATGGAAAAAAGGAAATGAATCAGAAAGAATTTACTCTAATTTGCTATCACTCTTAGTTACCAAGGTAATCAAACAGTTATTGTCATCATCAGTGTTTTTCCAGACTGATCTGAGCTGATCGTTCATCTCTTCCTCCATCTTAACGTTGATTCATTTCCACTCTGTGGATGTTTCTTCAGCAGGAGTTCTGACTAAACCACAGGTGTCAAACTCCAGTCCTCAAGGTGACCTGCAGTGTTTAGATGAGCCACAGGTACAAAACACTGCAATGAAATCACCATAATTACCTCCTCCTTGTGTGGATCAGATCTGCAGAGCCTTAATGACTAATTACTCTATTCAGGTGGTGCAGCAGAGGCTCAGCTAAAGGTTTCAGGGCATCAGCCCTCCAGGACTTTAAAAGAAGAGACTCAGCAGAAAATTTAAAGCCAAACTAATAATCACTTCCAGTTTCTTCAGCACAGCAACAGTGAAACACGTAAAAAATAAAACAGAGCAAATGTCTGGCTTTACTTTTCCTCTTAAAGACTCTTTTGCAGTTTAGTTAAATGTTTCTGTGTTTTCAGTGAAAATGTCTTCAGTTCAGCCTCAGAGAGTTTATCAAGCAGCAGAAACTCCTGCTGAAGAAACATTCACAGAGTGGAAAGAAATCAACGTTAAGATGGAGGAAGAGATGGACGATCAGTGCAGACTGATGGATTTTACCCGGATACCCAAGATCATCTTGCAGCGGATAGGTACGAACAGCTGCAGTAGCTGTCATTATTTTAATTGATTGTATACATTGATATTAATTTAATTGGTGAATCAATAAAACCAGAGCACACAGAGCATGCTCATTGCTCTGTGATAGTTCTGTGCTGCCTGGCTTCATGCAGCAGGAGAAAAAGTGAGAACTGTCACAGTGTTTGGTTATTTCTGCTTGTTGCTCCTTGGTCTGTGTTCATGATGGAGCGTTGTTTACCACTAGTGCATTGCCTTAATTGCTATGTTAATAGTGCAGACAGTGGTGGTTTCTGATATGAGAAATATGGGCAACCGCCCAGGCGTTAACTTTTAGGGTTGGCATGAGACTTCCATGGATTGTAGCACAGAGCAAAGTAGAACAAAGAGTTTGAATTGATAATATTGGTTAAATTGATTTGTTTTTATGGGAATGTGGATCTTTCAGACCAATTTGATTAGCACTTTTGCTAATATTTCACTTTTATTGTCATGTGGCGGCTGGTCTTGGTCTCTGCTTAGATGGTCTTGACTATAACACTATGTAAAGCTATTTAAAGGGCCGTTTCATTTAACTAAAAAGAAATGTCATAAGACTAATGGTCAGATATTGACTTAGCAAGCAGAGTTAATAGAGACGGTTCAGTTTAAATATTTAGTACTTTACTGTAAGTTACAGTGTGGGACCATTATTTGATAAGCGCCATCATATTCTGTGTCCATAAGAATAGCAAAGTATGATGTAAACCTGCAACAGCGCCTCCTACAGTCACAATGTGCAGTGGTCACAGAATATGGTGTAACGTCCCTGTTGGTGAGAAGCGAATCTTGAAGGGGAGTTAACGTCAGCTAGCCAGACTGCATATTTCCAAATGTTGGCACATTTGACGGCATTAAGTTTAATTGCTGGTAAAATTATTAACCACATGCAGACGTTGTTTATTCTAAATAAGGTAAATAACAATCTCTCTGAAAGACAATGGAAGAGATTTCATTTTGTAATGTTTTGCTGAGAATATCTTTACATTTTCCTCTCCTGGGGGTTTCTGTGGGCTCTAGTGTCCCTTATAAGAAAGAAGGCTGACAGGAATGTAGTAAGGAAAGACATGCGGCAAATATTGTCTGGTCCGGAAATCAAACCCGTGACGGCCGTGTGGAGATTGAAGGCCTCCAATCGTGGGTTGCGCTACCACAGCACGCCCCCTGCTGAGGAATATTTTCATTTCAGTTTTTGTTAAACTGAAGAGTTCATTGTGTGACCTCACATTTTGACTTTTTTGTCCAGATCTCCCACAAGCAGTGTGTGCAAAGAGGAGGAGATCTAATGAGCTCAGAAACCCAGAGAGAAACTTCACTTCAGATCAAGATCATCCAGAACCTCTGCAGATAACTGGAACAAGAGGAACCAGAACCTCTGCAGATAAAACTGGAACAAGAGGAACCAGAACCTCTGCATATGAAACTGGAACAAGAGGAACCAGAACCTCTGCAGATGAAACTGGATCAAGAGGAACCAGAACCTCTGCAGATAAAACTGAACAAGAGGAACCAGAACCTCTGCAGATGAAACTGGATCAAGAGGAACCAGAACCCCTGCAGATGAAACTGGATCAAGAGGATCCAGAACCTCTGCAGATAAAACTGGAACAAGAGGAACCAGAACCTCTGCAGATCAAAGAGGAAGAGGAGCAACTTTCCATCAGTCAGGATGAAGTTCATCTTGTGATGAAACAGGAAACTGATGACATTTTGAACAAACAGCAGAAAAACTCAACAGAGACTTCAGAACAAGAAACGCACATGAAAGCTCAACCAGACCAAAATCTATATTCTTGTCAAATTTGTGATAAACCTTTTCTAGAAATAATTCTTTGATGAATCACAAGAAAACTCATAAGGCTAAGAAACATTTTAAATGTTCCACCTGTGGAAAATGTTACCCTCAAAGAGTCGTTTAAATGATCACATGAGAACTCATACAGTTGAAAAACCGTTCACTTGTGCAGCTTGTGGAAAATGTTTCCATCTAAACGACTCTTTAAACAGACACAAGAGAATTTTCTTTGTTGAGAAATCTTACACATGCCCAATCTGTGGAAAAAATTTTGTGTCTAAATGTCAGTTACTTGCTCATATGACGATTCATACAGGTGAGAATCGTTTCTCTTGTGAAACTTGTGGAAAATGTTTTCAGAAGAAATCTAAGTTAGTTAATCACATCAGAGTTCACACCGGTGAGAAACCTTTCTCATGTGAGACCTGTGGAAAAAGTTTCACTCAAAAGCAAAATTTAACTCTTCACATGAAATCTCACACAGGTGAGAAACCTTTCTCATGTGAGACCTGTGGAAAAAGTTTCTCTCAAAAGCAAAATTTAACTGTTCACATGAGATCTCACACAGGTGAGAAACCTTTCTCATGTGGGATTTGTGGAAGAAGTTTCACTCAAAAAAACAACTTAACTTCTCACAACAGAATTCACACAGGTGAGAAGCCATTCTCATGTGAGGCCTGCGGAAAATGTTTCCCTCATAAAAACAGTTTAACTGTTCACATGAGATCTCACACAGGTGAGAAACCTTTCTCATGTGGGATTTGTGGAAAAGGTTTCACTCACAACACAACTTAACTTCTCACAACAGAATTCACACAGGTGAGAAGCCATTCTCATGTGAGGCCTGTGGAAAATGTTTCCCTCATAAAAACAGTTTAACTGTTCACATGAGATCTCACACAGGTGAGAAACCTTTCTCATGTGGGATTTGTGGAAAAGGTTTCACTCACAAACACAACTTAACTTCTCACAACAGAATTCACACAGGTGAGAAGTAGCTGTGCATTGATTTATCAGCTGGCTGATTAATAAATGTTGATTTTCTAAATTTTGGGACATTGGTGAGCAGCAGATACATGCATGTGAAGCTGATCTGATTCCTCGATGTTATTGACCTCAGCCACTGTTCTGTTCTCCGCTGTGAGGTTTGACTATTAGACCAGCTCACCATGTCATGTCTGCACCCTTAGTGAAAAGCGAGGAAAATGTTTTGTGTATAGATCCAGTTTAAGTCATCACATGGAGATTCACACGGGTTGGAAGCTTTTATTTTGTAGATTCATTAGAAAAAGGTTCACTCAAAACAAATGTAACTGTTCACATGAGAACTTGCACAGGTTTGATGGCACAATGTGAACCTCAAGATTCTCAGTAAGTTGCTGTTTGGAAGTGGAGTAATTGCAACCGACTTAAATTCTTAAATGTAGCAGGTTTTGCTTACAAAGCATTTTAATCTGGATATTTAGCTGAAATTCTTAAAAATTTTATTCTGCCAGTTTTATATTTCCATTTTATTGAATGAGACTGAGGGAGAGATTGTCTAACAAACAATGAGTTTGAATGCTTTGAGATTTAGACTTCTGAAATTTTGGAGTCTTTATTGTGTTTTTATCCTTTGTACATATTTTATTTTAATGATTTGGAGAAATGGATGCATTTCTTTGACATGGTTTTAAATAAATTTTCTCCTTACAAAATGGTTTGATGATGTGGATTGAATTTCAGATAAAAAAAATCATTGAAACTTTTTCTATAATTTTAGATGATAAAGTATCATAATGATGGTCTTTTTCTATTTTTCTGTTTAGTCAAAGACTGTGACAGAATCGATTTACATAGAGACTGAAATAAAACCTGTTTGAAACAAAAAGTAAATCAGGAAAACCTTCATATATAAACAGTTAACTTCTCACATGTCATTAATTTGATTTCAGCACCTCTGAGATCTAGAATTATAAGGCTGAGATATCAAGGTAAACAAAGAACCAGTAGCTGCTGGTAGGGGCCCTCCAGACATTATTACAAAATATAAATAGAAACTGGTTTTATAACTTCAACATCAGACCTATGTTTTTATTCACAAGTGTACGCTAGAAAAAAAAAATATTGCCCAAAAGTTGACCGTTAGAGGTCACAGTTCAGCCCCGCTCTTCCTCGCCACGGACCCGGTGTCTGAACAACGTGGAGGCAGAAGGACTGGGAATCCTCATAATTAGACCAAGGGCAGCCAGACTCATTAGTTTTGCTAGGTGTTATATTTAGAGGCACAAGAAGGCCTCCTGACACAAAAGACTCAAGTTGAAAACAAAAATAAACCCAAAAAGGGCTCTGGGGCATCAAGGGTAAAGGGGGCAGGGCTCAAGCCCTCTCCAGACCCCCTCTGCATGTGCCTGCATATGAATGCTTGTCTTTCTAAGTTCCATCCAATAAAATATCTGAAAATACAATTTAAACGATGTTAGAAAAGTGGCTCTGCAAACTCCCGCATTATTACTTCCTGCACCTCCTGGTTTTAGCTGTAGATTGTTGATCCACTTTTCTATTTTTTAGGTGAGTTTTTTCTAAATTAACTTCCTTGTGACCGACTACCTTCAAAACACAAAGATAAAGTTTTTCTTTCTCTCTATTAGAATGGTTGGAACAACCACACATGGCACAGACTTAAGACATTTTGATGCTTAAGTCAAAATGCCTAAATGTGCTGCATTTACTTTCTGACCCCCACCTCCATGGTAAGGCATCGGTGCTCCATCATGTGAAACCCAGCAATTTATGGGAAAAAAGAATAATACACTGCTTTAAAATGTAAAATACTTTATTTCAAGTCATACATGTAAAAGTCAACAATGTAAAAGCTGAACTCAATAACTACATGACAGAACTGCAAGACACCTGAAATCTACAGAAATTAAAACTTCCTGAAGACATACCCCTCTTTAACTTCAGTATCTAATGGGACACTGATGAGAACCATAAGTACAAATCTGACTGATAAATAAAACAAAAAACTGATTTTAGAAAAACAAAGCTGGTAGACAAAAATGGACCTCAAGTCTATCTTAGTACAAGACATTCAGAGCATCGACTTGGCTTTGGATGAATGGATATTTTTGTGCAGAATTGGCATGGATTTAATTTATAAGTAAAGGTAAGATGGGAAAAAACATGTTTTTTAGTTTTTTTAATGAAATGTGCATTTTGTGGGCCACAGTCTGTATGTCTAAAGAATTCAGTAAAGTAGAAATGTTAGCTAATCTACCACAGCAATGATTTATTAATAAAACACTAAGACTAAAACAAACTACTGCAAAAAACTCAATGTTCTATTCAGTGACCAAAATTCTTTTTTTTTTTTTTTGTTAAATCCTAAAACATGGCATTGTTATCAGTTGCTATTGCAACGAGTCTGCATGTAGCTTGGGTGATGCAGAGTGAGAAAGTGGTTTAGGTTTCTCCCTTTGCTGTGGATCATAACACGAAACAATACCTACATTTCTAGGTTTCACCTGGTTACTACAGCTATGGATGACGTGTAAAAGAACGGTCTTTCTGCCCTCCAGCGTTGTATGCATGAGCAAAATTTCTGAGTAACCAATAACATACATGGTGTCTGTATTTATACATCGTAAAGCCTCACCGCACGTCACTGTTTCACACCCATATGAATCTTTATGTGTCTAAGTAATTGTTGTTTCATCCTGAAACTCTTTCCACAGGTCCCACATGAGAAAGGCTTCTCACCAGTGTGAATTCTCATATGCCGAGTTAAAGTCCCTCTGTCACTGAAACTCTTTCCACAGGTTGAACAAGTGAAAGGCCTCTCACCTGTATGAATTCTCATATGCTGAGTTAAAGTCAGTCTTTGTCTGAAACTCTTTCCACAGGTCCAACAAGTGAAAGGCTTCTCACCTGTGTGAATTCTCATATGACAGATTAAACCATGTTTTGACTGTAACTTTTCCCACAGGTTGAACAAGTGAAAGGTTTTACTCCTGTGTGAGTTCTCATGTGTCTCTTCAAATTACTGTTTAGAGAAAAGGTTTTATCAGAAATTTTACAAGAATATATTTTTTGCCCTCTGTGAGTTTTCTTCTGTGGTTTTTGTTTCTCAGCATCAGTTCTGTCTTTCTGCTGTTTGGTTTTCTCATATCTCTCCTTTGGTTTATGTTCTTCCTTTCTCTTTTTTCCTGGGTCTTCAGAATGCTTCCTTCCTGATCCTGGTTCTCAGTTTCTGCAGAGCCATGAAAGATGAGTTGGTTCCTCTGTGGTTTTGTGTCATTGAGAATCTCCTCTTCTTCACACACACAACATTGTGGAAGATCTGGGAAATAGACAAAAAAAAAAAAAGTTTTTTAAATGTCAATCAAAGAAGAAATCCACTTTGATGCCTTCATGTATAGAAACAGGATTTTCTTAGGTTATTGGAAATTACAATCTTACAAGAATGAACATTAACTCAACTAAGAAGTTAACGTTCTATGTTCTAGAACATTGGATGTTCTAGAATGGAACTATGACCAGAACTAGTTTCATTCTGGTCATAGCTCCATTCTAATGACCAGACTGGAACTAGACTTGAGTCAAAATATGATATAAAGGATCTCCAGGTGACCAAATAAGATGGCAATAGCTTAATCTAGTAGCTTCCTGACAAATATTACATAAAATCTTCTTCCTCCATGTAGAGAGAGAGGAAGAAGACGCCTACATGGAGGAGGAGTCAGATGTTCAGGTCACCTGACTTTTGGACATGTACCCTGACCACACACACGGTGTCGCAATCCGACTGGGAGATTGTGGACAACGCTGGTGGTGATGCGGGCTGTGTGCCTGTAATGGGCGCAGGGGAAGTGCACCCATTATATGTCACCAGATATATATCACATTAAAGAGTGACATAAAATGCCTAAAGGGAAACCATAAAGTAATTTTTAATCTCACCCGCTGATATTGTCAGACATTGCTCCGCTCACACACTCAACACAAACGTTCAAAAGCACAACTAAATCTCAGCCTTACTTTCCTGGGATTCACAGCAGAATTGGTAGCAGTGGTTGATTGTTGTTAATCGCACACATGCAGAAAATAATGGCAAAATGAACCAATTGAAAATATTTGACATGAATATTGGACAATTTGGAAGATTAAATATGAAAGGTGAAAATGTACAATGATAAAATTATTTAACGAGTTTATTTAAGACACAGTTAGTTAATAAGTCATTACTAAGTTTACATTATGAAAATGGAAACTTAGCAGCCAGACAAGACAATTACTAAATATGCTTTTGATTGTTGTGATCATTATTATCACCTGGTTGCAGTTCCTGTCAGGTCACCATAAAATAATTCCCCAATGAAAGTGGAGGGCGCGGCTTTGGGCGGGTCTAACACTGACCTTCTTTAACTTAAATTTGAGCCGTTATTCTGTCAGAATAGCTGACATGCATTGAGTACAAATGAGCATTAAGAGGCGCTGTCAGCTCAGCATATGTGACAAGATACAAGAGAAAGTCAATAAATATTTTCTAGTGATAACTGTATGGATAGTAGCGTTGCTGTAAACAACTATTTCAGTAATTGAGTAATCTATTAATTATTCTTATGATTAATCAACTAATCGGATTAAAAATGTATATAAAATAAAATATTGGTAAATCTGCTATAACACCAGTGTTACTATCAGATATCAATATCAATCCAATTTTTCATATTGGAGCATCCCTAACAGTCATTTCTTTGTAGTTTAGAAAACTAACCTGTAACAATAACATCAAATAACATAACATTGGAAGATGCACATTCTAGGCTAAACAATCACAGAGAAGTTTGATAGGGGAATTAAAAAAACTGTGTCGGCGATATTCAGGGTGCACAGTGGGTCAGGAGAGGAACCGCAGACCCGTCAGAACCTAAAGAACCAGACATCAGTCTCTTCA